ACATGTATAAAGCTTTTTCTGTCTACATAAATGAAGACTTGGTTACACAGTTTTGATGTCCAAACTGGAGTTAAGTCTGAAACAACAGATTTTGATTTCTAAGTAACTCAGTTGGAGTTAGGGTTAGTGATTCGTGTTTTTGTCAACAAACTGGGGTTGGAGTTACTGATACCACTTACGATAAATAAATTGAAGTTCATGCTACAGAAGTGAATCTTGGGCCATAGTGATGGAACAGAGTTTATAGCTGATGGGATCACAATCAACACTGGGACTGATGTCTTAAATCTGACCCAATGTCATTATTAATTAGAGGTCACATCAGTGGAGTGTATTTGTACAATAAACACTGTAAATGTGTTAACTTGAAGACAGAATTTCTGTGGGGAAAACTATTAAAAAACAGAAACACTCAAAGCTTTCAGAAAACTTAACAAAGAAGGAGTGAAAGCGAAAGATGGTCACGGCTGAAATGATATGGATAGACAGAAGAGATAAAGGTGCATGCCAGATGTGCAAGACTGGGTCATGGTGACTCGCAGTTTTGTAACAAAAAGTATTGGCACCTGTCAATGAGATGTAGAATGGATATTGAATATTTTATATACAGCATATCACAGTCATGCTTTGACAAGCAACACCCTCATCACAAGGGTTGGTTCAACAAATTGAAAAAAATATTTTGGCAGTGTATCAAGATAAGTTGAATATAGACTCAGAAGACATATCTGTCAAATAAAAAATTACTCAAAAGGGTTAAATTCAAACAACTACAGAAATTAAGTTAATATTGTCTACATTGATCCACAAAATCAAAAAAAATACTGAATTGTATGGCAAGATTTAAAACCAAACAGAAAAAAAAATGTAATAGTCCTAACTTAAAAAAAATGTAATAGTCCTAACTTAAAAAAAAATGTAATAGTCCTAACTTAAAATAAAATCTAATAGTCCTAACTTAAAATAAAATCTAATAGTCCTAACTTAAAAAAAAATGTAATAGTCCTAACTTAAAAAAAAATGTAATAGTCCTAACTTAAAAAAAAATGTAATAGTCCTAACTTAAAAAAAAATGTAATAGTCCTAACTTAAAAAAAAATGTAATAGTCCTAACTTAAAAAAAAATCTAATAGTCCTAACTTAAAAAAAAATGTAATAGTCCTAACTTAAAATAAAATCTAATAGTCCTAACTTAAAATAAAATCTAATAGTCCTAACTTAAAAAAAAATGTAATAGTCCTAACTTAAAATAAAATCTAATAGTCCTAACTTTAAAAAAAAATGTAATAGTCCTAACTTAAAAAAAAATGGAATAGTCCTAACTTAAAAAAAAAAGTTAGATATTTCTTTATGGGGGTTTTCATCTCCAAATTCTTAGTATGACTTGATTCTGTGAAAAATTGTTGACTTAAAAAGCACTACTAAGTCTATAAAGAGCAAATAAATATTCAGACAGGTAAAAATCACTCATGTTATGTGTGTTATAAAATCCCTCTCAGGAACCACAGCAAAAATAACAGCTAAGCAGAACCTAATAAAGCCAATTCATGATTCGCCATCATAGTATTGATGTTCTACCATTCCACCACTGTGCAACATTCTATTATCAAATCCACACCTATGAAAATTTCCATTAAGTAACAACAGCAAAACAATAAACACTGTACTATCAACTGGTTGGAAATGAATTCAAATATGAAATGATTTCTTTAAATACAAATGGACGTTTAACAAAAAAAAGTGTTTTTAAATTACGGAATGGATCATGGGCACTGGAAAGAGAAACAGAATTTGAATTTGCATCTGAATTCATTAACGCAAACAATAACGAAACACAAGAAACATCAACCCATCACATCAACAAACATATCAGCTGACAGCATGCTGTGAATATGCACACTATCAACTACCCATACAATATACCCTGATAAATATAAACCTACTGGAAGATTCCAATGTGCAATCTAGACAGAACAAGGATGGTGATATAACAGGGTTCCAGTGACCTACCTAATATCACAGACTCAACTGCATGCATGGATCATCCAGCACACAAGCATTACATTCGTCAGCAGAACCCTGTTTTATCTTATCATTCTACATGTAGCAACCATCAAAATTACAAGGGAGACTACCCAATAATCCAACCATCAAATCACAAGGGAGACTACCCAACAATCATATTACAGGGGAGACTACCCAACATTTCACCATCAAATTACAAGGGAGACTACCAAAAGATGACCATCTATATGATATCAATATAACACCTCTTAATTGAAAGAAATTTCTTTATTGCACATTTTTTAATGAATTGCTTCAAATGAGATGAATTATAAATGTTTGCATCACCAGTGAGAATCTATCACCAGTGAGAATCTATCACCAGTGACCTGTGAATCCATCGACAGAAAACAATGTGAGGCTGCTGTCATGCTACCATAACAAAGTTCCATCTCTAGACAAAGAAGAAGAAAGTGTGAACAGAATTTGGCAACAAAACCATGTTGTGAATACATTTCTGTAAGTGATGCATCCATAAAACAATTTTGTCTGGATAAACAAGCACAATAGAGAAGTAAAACGTTAACATTTATAACCATAAGCACAAGAGAGATCAGAGTTTAACATAAACAGAAAGAGGGAAAATCTGTCTGCAAGCTCACATATACCGACTGTTTCTTTGATTAAAACTACAACCTCTTTTCCAATTACAATAAAAATATTGTCAGTTAGAAATCATTCTTTATTAATTGTGTTATGTTATGTATTCAATGTGCATGAAATTACTGGAAGCTTCATAGCCAACATAACTCCTCTCCTGAATGTCACCTATCTATGATTAAGATGTATTGCATTTTTTATTAAATTTTGAAGATGTAAAAGTATGTGTACATTTTACTCTCTCAGGTAAAGAGTATCACAGTCACAACAGCAACAGTATACATTTCCAAATTTAATAGGTTACTGACAACCAGTTTTGCTTGTTACCCCACTTTTTGTGTATTTCAGGTGTAGAAAAATTGAATAAGTTGTCCTGAAGAAGCTTGGTAACAGGTGAAAACAATTGACATTAACTGAATTAATCTAGAAACCTACAACTGGAGAGTAAATGTACTTGAGTTCCACCAAACTCATAACAAACAGTGTTAGCGTACAACGAGTTCCACCAAACTCATAACAAACAGTGTTGGCGTACAATCTAAATCCATTGTACACTCCGTGACACTTTCTTCACCATATCAACAGTATAATACATTGATTATACGATGTTTCTTTTTTCAATTCTGATTGTCAAATTTTTCAAACTTAAGTTCATTTTCAAATTGACAAATTAAGTTTTATAAATTGCAAAAAGCAAATTCCTCTGAATATATCCAACTCATGAACAGTAGCAAATAAAAAGGATTTTGTTGGATCCAAAATAAAGTCTTATAAAAAAACTAGTTATACATGAAATTATCAGACATCATTTAATCAACCTAACACATAAGTAATTAAAAGGATACCAGCATTGATCAACAATGTTTAGCATTTTGTCATAGTAGTATGGGGAGACAGTCAAAAAACTTTTATAAACAAAAGCAATCTCCTATTATCTTCATCAAATTCCGACAAGACTTAGTCAAAACAGTAAAACATATTGTAAGGTATTATAAATAAATGGTTTTGTTGTCAATGATTATATTTCAAAATTGAAGTTGATAAAAGTATTAAAAACAATAACTGTAAAATACAATAAATAAAATACTCACACAAACGTCATAGAGTAAGGGAAAGAAAGCGGAAAAATTTGGTAATATAATTCAAATCTGAAGTCATCTACCTCTGGTTTAACGTCTTTCTAAATAATCACCCAATCGTACAAAATTGATTGTGTATGAAAGTCATCACTGTTTGAAAACTGTACAGTTGCAGATGTACAATTTCTGTACATAAACATTTATTTCTATGCACATTTTCTCACTTATCTTGGACAGTATTTTAAACAATGCCACAAAATCACTGATTCGTGACTACATATTTACATACATATTAGTCCCACTCATGAGTGTCATATTTCACTATCTACAACAGCCCCTGAACTTGGCTAAGTTTATAAAACCCTCTGGCAGCCCTTTTAACAGATAGTTCTTTTTGCCACTATCCCAGTTTTTCATTGGACAGCAACAGATCTTTGCCATAATATTGTAGTGATCATTTGTCATAAAATCTAACGAACTTTTGTTGGTCATGATGAAGGTGTCAATAGGTTAATGAAGACTTTGCTTTCTCTCTATTTACTTTATAATCATACTATACATATACCAATATTTATATAAACACCTGATACTTTTGAAACAGAAATTTCTGGGATTTTGAAGTTTTGAGATTTTCAGATAATTGGATGCTGTTATCGGGAGGGTGCTGGATTAGAATGGGAACACAGTGTATTTCAGAATATCAACAACATACAAAACACCTAAACAGTATAAAATGTATGTTATTCCCTCCTTCATGTCAAGGTTCATCTCAAAGGTCATGGACAGCCATTTTTCACAACACATGAATCATTAATCCGTGCGAATTTGAATAACCTTTATGTCATCATATCAATAAATAAACATCTTTTCACAATCATAAATATGTTTTCTGATTAAAGTATATAACACTTATATAATTTGTATCTTTACATTGTAAGTGAAATGGTATAAATTGTCAATCACCAAACCCAATCCACTGTATCAACTCTATACATTTTTTCACCAATTTTTGTATATTTATATATTGGCCATGTCTACTAGAATAAATATGATGTTCAAAATTTATTCTTCAGGATTTTACATATCTAAAATTCTAACAAAAATCCAGATATAGGCTATATGAAAGCATATATCAGCAGGAATTAATTCAGAAAACTAAACCAAACGATGAGAGCTAGGAGGGACTAGTAATGTACCGGGAAAGTGGAAAGTACCTGAGACAAATGTCACTGTTGTCAAAGAACGGAAAAGTAATGTTTACAATAATATACAAGCTGAAGATTTTTTCTCATCTTTTTTCACAATTGGGATTTTACCCTGTGTATTTTGTCGAACTAATTTCGACTGATTTTTCAAAGCCGTTTTTTCTTGTTGTTTTTCTTCTACTTTTTGCTTCTTCCGTAACTTTTTGGCTTTCTTCTTTTCTTTTTTTTCGGCATCAATCCGTTTTTTCTTGTTGTTTTTCTTCTACTTTTTGCTTCTTCCGTAACTTTTTGGCTTTCTTCTTTTCTTTTTTTTCGGCATCACTATCGCTGCTATCACTACTATCACTGCTGCTGCTACTATCTTTATCCTTCTTTCCACCCTTTTTATCTGTCACTGCTACAGGGACTGTCGCGGCTGAGGGACTGACATCATCTTCATCATCATCATCTATAACAATACAATCATATACAATCTTTGGTTAATTAATATATACATACAGTATTTCTACTAAACAACCAGCATAACACAGAAAACAATTACAGCTGAGGGGAGCTTAGATAGAGTGATAAACAAAGAGAACCTGACTGCTTTAATCTTTCATGTACATACATGTATTTCATACAGGATGAATTCTCCTATCACTGTCTACAGAAAGCTGACTGTTATAAAAATATTTTATATAAATTAGCACAACAGACATCAGATCAGGCTAAAACAAACTCCAATAAGTGCTACCTTTGTGATTACAGCCTAAAACAGGAAGCAAAAAAGCTTGTGATTTGAATTTGATTTGATCAAAAAACAAAACCTTCAATATTCATCCTAACCTTGATATCATTTATATCTACATGTACAATTTTATGTATATGAAGTGGCTGTTTATGTTGTTGCAAAGCAAGAAAAACCTTCTGAGAATCCTCCGTGTGAAAATTAATTTGTTCTACACCACCCAGAGGAAGCATGTATGTACGTTTGGCTCCCCACAAGGCCCATTGTTACACATATCAAAATTTAGTCAAATCATCATTTCATGTTTTTTATATACTGTGTACAAGTCTTTTATGTGATGTCAGTATTTCTCTGTTAACTCAGAGTCCTGAAACCTGTATAACATATCAAATTTCAACTTTGTGAAATATTCTAATATGGAAATTTGTTTCAGCACTTGTCTTTTTCAATGTAATATTATAGATATAACATTGATATGTGTATAACATTGAAATATAAAATACCCCAGAACACATTACAATATCATAATTCTAATGTATTGCCCGACAATCATGCACACTACCTTGGCAAAGTTGATGATTGGTTGTTATTTATAGATTTACCCCCATTGTGGGCCACTATCAGACGTACCTACCAATTATTTACCTTTCTCCTGGGGAATGAGGGCGATACACTTGTCAGCAGCATCAGCTGTTGAGGCGTTGTAGATCTGTTTGATAAGACTGGTAGAGATTTTCTTCTTGTTGTGTTTTTCTGCCTCGTCCAACATCTTCTTCATGGCATGCTGTGGAAAATCAAAAACGTGATTACAAGTGAATCAATGGCGTCTACTGAGTCTAACTGGAGGTCACTGAATTTCAAATATCATATAATGGTTTTATTTTGCCTTAGTGTAATAGCATTGCCATAGCATTGTCAATTAAATATTAACATTTGGACACATTATATATTGCAAAATTTGCACTTGGCAAAATAAATCTTATATATATTGTATTGTTTTATTTTGGAAAGAAAACATGCAGATTTTGTTTGTGTATTTATTTATTTAACAGGAGGCTTCAGATCTATCAGTATTTCAGCTGACAAGAGTATATGTTTATTATATTTGTTCCTGAAGTCTGTGCATTTAAAGTACATTGTAGAATGAGCTGCATTTAATAACATATAACAGACTGTTGGTGGTATATACAAATTAGACTGTCTTTTGTAGTTTGTACCTAGGAAATCATAACTGATAGTATTCGTGGGTATAATGTCTTTTGTAGTTTGTACCAAGGAAATCATAACTGGTAGTAATAGTGGGTATAATGTCTTTTGTAGTTTGTACCTAGGAAATCACTTCAAAGGTATGACCATGAAGTAACTTGTTCCAAACACTATATGGTAAAGCATTTCCCAACATTTACGTATGTATTATAATGTAAAGGTGTGTGTTAATTATTACTTACAAGTTTCTGTTCCAGGCGTTCTTGTCGCTTCCTGAGGAATGCAGCTTCCATCATGTACTTGACTTTGTCAGTATCCAAAGCCTTAATATAACATGGTAGAATATCTTCATTAAAGCTGAAGTTTTTAAAGATTATAAATCAAACTAACCAATCATTGGTTTTGATCAAAGACAAAACAAATTATATATGACATCATCATCTTAACTAGGGATATCAATCTAGGACTATTAACTCCCTAACTATCCATATCCAACAAACGAAAATACTGCGGAAATATTCATCTCACTGGAAAAGTTTTTCTTTTTCTTTTCAAAGATGTGTACATGCAGATACCTATGATGTGTGTATTGTATTGAAATGCACATTTTGTGGAAAATATTATATATCAGCTTTATATTTTCTTATCATCTCTAAGAAGAGATACTCCTGACTTCCTACTTACCTTGGACTTTCCAGCGCCCATCTGACCTTTGGTCAGGGCCGAGGACAGCAGAGCATCCTTAGTGTTGATATGCTTTTTCGGTTTCTGAATCTTTTGTTTGCCGTAGATCTGGATCATGATGGCACCTTCCTTGAGGTAGTCCAGGAACTGATACAGATGTGATAGACCGTGATTAACATTTTTAATGTTAAATAAGGTGACCACACACTTTCCTAGCAATACTTCACTTCGAAATATCAGCCATCCCAAAAGGTAAATATTATATGACAATTGGACAGCATATTTAATGACACTCAGTGACACTGTGCATATTAGCATTGGGACACCACTGTATACCATTTATGATTCATGCCATATTTTCATTTCTTTGTCTATTATTGCAATTTTAAACAATACATAGATACTCAGAATGAAGTCAAACAATTTTTTAAAGGATAGAAGAAGTACTGTGCTGACAAGCCTGTTGTTTATTTTTTTGTTTGTGTATTTGTGTTTTTTTTTTTTTCAAATAAAACAAAGATTACTCTTAGTCTTTAAAATCTAATTCTATACTAACTGGCAGTGAGACATCAGCCTGGTCATGTTTCATCTCATATTTCCAATCAGGGTTATTTGTGGCTGGCAACCTCTTAGTCTCGTAAACCTTTTCTCCAGTGAAAAATGTATATTTTGCATACACATCCTGTAAATAAAATAAAAACATGAAAATTTGAATAGCTGTAATAATTGTTTTTTCCATAAATATAGTTCTCACATGTAAACAAAGTTCTCCCCTGTAACCACAGTTCTCCGATGCAATCACAGTTCTCACCTGTAACCACAGTTCTCCGATGCAATCACAGTTCTCACCTGTAATTATAGTTCTCATACATATGTATACAGTTTATTCAATAATAGTTCTCATGTTTTAATTTAGTTGTCATATCTAGTTATAGCTCCATTTTAGCTTTATGTTCTGGAATCAATAAAAAGGGTGACTATTTACCTTAATTTTGTGCTAACATTTAGAACCCTTAGTCTATGAAGACCTAGTGGGAGATGTTACTGATACAGGCTACTGGTATACTCACCACAAATTTCATTGGCAGGCCTCTGGCACTGACAATTTTCAGTTTGAAATGAACGCCATCCTTACTACCTAGCAGTTCTTCTGGGACCTCAACAAAGATATCGTCGGCATCAGTGTACTCCTTTCCTTTGGCATCGCACGGAATAATCTCATACTGTAACAACAAAAAATAAAACATATTAAAGGAATCATGGTTTTTCAAAGACAATTTCAAACCAAGCAAGTTATTGAACTCCCTGCCCAACAGGTAAAATAATGACGAAACAATATCCTTGGTTTCCAGATACTTTTCATTATTTTTCTGCTTTTCCTCAATTTCCGGAGGAGCTTTGTATCATCATTAATGATAAACTCTGTGATATTATGAATGAATGATGCCACATGATTGTCTTGGTAATGGAAAATGAACAATCAATGTCATATTCTGTGTGTCTTCATAGTAAATTGAGTTTTGTGATAAATATAATCATCATACTGACTTTATCTAACCTTTCAGTAATTGGATTTGACCCTGAACTACAGGCTTGTTATGGAACATTCATGGTAAATTCAACATGACAAATTGGCCATCCAGTTAATGGGGTTCACTTTAGTGGGATATACACAAGAACAATTGTGATTTAACAACAGAAATATATTCTAAGTTAGATAACTCTCAAATGCTCTTAACATTGAACGATGTTACTATCTTAACTGTCACACCATGAACATTCAACTTATAACATACTTAATTACTTACATTGAGAAGGCCAACCTCCTTGCCCTGATAGTCACATACACTCAACTGATCCTTGGATTCAATCTGTAACACAAAAACCAATTATTTATACTTCAATACAAAATTCACTCATGCATAATCAAGTAAAAAACAGATTTTTTGCAATGATATTCATGCCAGCACAAAATAATGCAGCACATTTTCTGTAGTACTCAGAATATTGCAAATCTGTAGTACTCAGAACATTGCAAATCTGTAGTACTCCAATATTGCAGATTTGTAGTACTCAGAATATTGCAAATCTGTAGTACTCAGAACATTGCAAATCTGTAGTACTCCAATATTGCAAATCTGTAGTACTCAGAATATTGCAAATCTGTAGTACTCAGAATATTTCAAATCTGTAATACTCAGAATATTGCAAATCTGTAGTACTCAGAATATTACAAATCTGTAGTACTCAGAATATTGCAAATCTGTAGTACTCAGAATATTACAAATCTGTAGTATTCAGAATATTGCAAATCTGTAGTATTCAGAATATTGCAGATTTGTAGTACTCAGAATATTGCAAATCTGTAGTACTCCGAATATTACAAATCTGTACTACTCAGAATATTACAAATCTGTAGTACTCAGAATATTGCAAATCTGTAGTACTCCAATATTGCAGATTTGTAGTACTCAGAATATTGCAAATCTGTAGTACTCAGAATATTACAAATCTGTAGTATTCAGAAGTTTTTATGTGAATTTTGTTTTCATGGAAACACAGTTCAATGTTTCCTCTAATCCAATCTGCTGTTTAAATAAGAACCTACATATACAGGTGAAGAAGTTAACTTGTGAGAAACTGTGAGAAACTATCATTTACTATATATTTTTTCTGAAATAAGCTTGAAAGGGTCAACACATGACCTTTGACTCAAAGAGGTGGAACAGGATTACAATGTATTACAGGCATATGAAATTGCATTTGCTGGTATTTCAGTGAAACGGAAAAAGACATGAATAGGCATATTTCCAGACATTGGCCTTTTATTGAATATGGTACATCTGTATAAACTTGCTGTGGTTTTAAATTCTAATACTGTTCAAGTTTCAAAGGGATTAAGGAAATGTATAAACTTTAGAATTGACTTAATGGCTGTGAAAAACAGGTTTGTAACCTTCAAAAGTCCATAGCTGTACTTACCAGGTAAGCCATCGATTTCAACCAGAGTTTGACGCTGCCGATATAGAAATCACATTTCATATCATCAAAGAACGGATCCTCTTCCTATCAGAAAAAAAAACTGGTGTTAAGTTATGTACATCAGTCATTAAATGTTTAAGTAACCTGATATCAACATTTAAGTAACCTGATATCAGCATTTAAGTAACCTGATATCAACATTTAAGTAACCTGATATCAACATTTAAGTAACCTGATATCAACATTTAAGTAACCTGATATCAACATTTAAGTAACCTGATATCAGCTTTTAAGTAACCTGATATCAACATTTAAGTAACCTGATATCAACATTTAAGTAACCTGATGTCAGCTTTTAAGTAACCTGATATCAACATTTAAGTAACCTGATATCAACATTTAAGTAACCTGATATCAGCATTTAAGTAACCTGATATCAATTTGCATAACAACTTGGTGACCTTAAACTACATGAGACTACCATGAACATACCCGTACATGGTTTTTCTTTAAAATTAGGTGAGAAAACAGAAAACATTATTGCAGCAATTTCATTTTATTATTTTCAAACATTTCCATGTTAAAACTTTTTTGTTTTCTTTTCGATCAATTTTTAGAGAAAATACGATGAAGTGCCAGTTTTGTAACGATAAGCGTGAGGTAGGAAATTTATTTTGAAACATGATCAGATATTCAATATGACTTTCAAATATTTGATCTTTAAGGCTATTAGTCAGAGGATGCTTTATAGAATCATCAAAGTGTTTATTTCAGCTAGATATCTTCTGCCCATTAGGGTCACCACAATCTCATACACTGAAGAGGAATTTATACTCTTATTCAATTCTATCTTACACATGTATAACAGCTATTAAATCATTCTAGTTATTCTAGAGGATAAGTCTTTTATACACTTCTACTGGACTACTCTTCTATCCCATTGACTTCCACTAACTTTCATTTCAACCTAACTTATTTTCAGTAGTCAATCAAAAAGAACTTAACTTATATAGTGTAAATAGCCTACCTTACAAAGTAAAAACAGATCAACAAAAAATGACAGGACACTAAAATCTCACACTCATAACTCTTCAAGATTGTGTGTGCCATTTGAGATATTCTCGTCTTTTAGTCTTGGAAAAAATTATAAAATGGAACTGTTATTCATTCAGTTTTCTCTACAAGGGAGATAACTCTTTACTAACCTCTGTTCTCTTGACATCTTCCCCCTCCAGAAGCTCATCATACATCTCTTGCATGACATACATTCGGTTCAAAAGTTTCTGGAATGGCCACATCCATTCAAATTTTGTTTCTAGGTGGGTCACCTTCACCATGACAATGCTACGTCCCTTTGTTTCACCGCGTCCTTCAGGAGACACAACAACTATCTCAAACTTGAGTTTCTTATCTAGTTCTTCACTGATGGAGTTAGCTTGCTGTACTGCAGGCACAGCCTTCACCATTTCCTCCTGTAATAGGGCTTCGTCTTTTGGGAAAATGAAACAAAAATGTTATTTATATCATAATTCTGTCATTTTGATAATGTACACAAGGAAATCTGTTTTTTTTTTTTTTTTTCTATAACATCATACTTTTCATTTTACCTGTGTCAAATATGGCCCTACAATACCTTATAGCAAATGGTTCAGCTTTGACATCAAACTTAAACACATTTTATTTTTGTTCTATTGACAAAAGAGCAAAAGATATAATTTACAGTAGAGAAAAGGCAGTCTTTTGTTTATTTGCCCAAACCCGTTTTTTAAGTTTCTTCAGCACATAACATTTCTAAAACCCAGGATGAAAATGAGAGATTGGTACCTCTTGATTTGGCCTCCTTGTCCATGCCAAGACCAGATTTGCGAGCAACCTCCTGCTGAGCATCGTCATATGAAATGTCTGGGTAGTTTATCTTTGAACTATCACGCTCTTTCGGGTTACAATACACAAAGAATTGAGTTGTTCCAAACTGGAGCCTATTAAGATATTATAATTCAGTGGTTTATAAAGAAGTTTTAACTATGTCTCATGTAAAATTTAATGTGTTGCTGTAATATAACACAAAAGGTTTGTGTTATTTTGTATTATTAGATGAAAAAATAAGTACATGTCCAATCATGAGCCCATATTTCATACATTGCTGTTAGGGAAATTATCAGCCAATTCCAGTTAACTGCCCTGTAATAAGCCTTGACTATATATAATGTAAGATGAGGATGCCTTTGGCTTCTTGCAATATAAATACTGTTGATATTTGCTCTACTTATTGCTAATCTATGACAAAGCATATACCATCTTGTAAAAAGATGTATTGTTATTACAGAATACAAATAACATTTTAAGTGGAGGGTTTTAAATTACAACAGAAACATGAGAAAACGTCATATCATGACTGGTAAAAGATGATCAACGTGACAACTTCCACCAAATCTCACCTGTCATTATGAACCATATCTTCCTTAGTCCCAACAGCTTTTCCATTGTGGAGGATACGACTATGGGGGGCTGTTGGCTCTATGGTCCATTTATTCTCTGCCACAGTGAAGGAGGCATGTTTCGGTTGAATACTGAGAAAAAAAATCATATTTTTTCAAACTCGTGTTATGGCTTAATTATGTTGCTACGTGTAAATAACAATTGATTAACATATCTTTCCAAATACGAGAGATTTTCTAAATTCAAATGTGTGCACGTCTCTTAAGGCCTCAAAGTTTTTCTCTCTATACACGATGTGTTTCTGTTTTGAACCCAACTCCAGAGTTTCCTCTCCAGACATGAACATTTTCTCTCTAGATCCCAAAGTGCTCCTCTGTAGAGGTCTAAAGAGGAACACTTTCTAAACTGTAGATTCCAAAATGTTTCTCTTTATCCATATGAAGTATGTCCTAAACCATCTTTCTGACAAATCTTGTAAAAATTATTTTCAACAAGGGATAACCTAAATTCTGCTTTTCTTTCTGTTAGATTTATGGTATAGTCTTCTTACCTGGGTCCTACAATCCTAATGTTGACCTCGCCCTCTGCAGAACTACTGCCAATAGTGATGTTCTCACCCTCCAGGAAATGAACAATCCTCCCAGACAGCTGAGGATCTTGGTTCAAGTTGTACAGATGGGGTGTGGTCTTCTTCTTTGCATCAACTGCATTGAAGTCTGTATCCTAGAGTAGAATGTGAGAATAAGATGGTTTACCACGTCGCAACAAGTAGATGATATTTATTTGTGTTTTTTTTCATTGTTGCTTTATGTCTTTTAAACAGCCAGTGTAATCTAACTATCAGGCTTTGAATATCTGCTGCAACTACTAACCATCTTCAAGGGGTATGAAAAAATTTGTACTATACACAGAATATCAATTCACTTTCTTGGCAATCTATAAAATTGTGAATTTACAAGTTCACATTATAAATATAATTGTTAGATAGATAGTTGATAGTCTTAAACAATTCAGTGACAATGAAAACATTGTAACATCTATACACAGGGCTATCCGACCAGCATTCCCTAATGTTTTGTAATAAGCAGGAATAATTCAATAACTCTAGAGTAGCTTATCCTCTCCACACATTCTAACTCAATTCTAATAAATTACCTGTGTTAACTGTCGTCATTTGTATCCATACAGAAGAATGATTAACTTCGTAATTTCATTCAGATCAATTATCGTAAAGTTTTGACAGAGACTATCTCTTTGAATACCCAAAAAAGGGAACAAGAAACCTCCAAAGAGAGAATGACAGATAGAAATACTAACAGAATCACCACGTTCTGCCAGTCTCTGCTCGAAGGATTTCTTCATCTCCTCCATCTCGCGTTTGTTTTTCTCCAGCATACTAGCATACTCAGACTCACGATCTTCTTTTTCCTGCCTCTTTTCTGTAATCAACAAACAAGCACAGTGTTTTAGGAGATTAGTGAAAATCCTATAGCATACAAGATTAACAAAAAGCAATTATTGGAACTGTCGACAGTGCTAATGAATTTTTTTTTTTTTTTTTTTGGGGGGGGGGGAGGGGAATTGAGGGTCTTGGAAAGGGAGGAGAAAAAAAATTAAATCTGACTGATCTGCCATGAACTTCTTAAAGATTAAGGTATAATGTGTGACCCACAAATAGAAATTATTCTTGTAAGCAAAACAAAAGTAATAAATCACCTTCATCTGTCAAGTCATCATCATCATCATCTTGTTTGATCATCTCAAAATTTCCAGACTCCATCATCTTTTTGAGTCTTTCATTTTCTTCCTGAAGCTCTCTGATCAGCTTATCTGTAGCACTCTCATTGACAGAAGCTGTAGTTTTTATCTGTTTTGCACGGTCAGCTGTAAAGCAAAGGGAGACGATCAATGTATAAACTGCCAGATTTTCCTATAATTTTTTATTTGGGGAAATTTATAACCAAAAAGAAAGAAACAAGAGGACTAAATGGCATGTATTTGCCAAGCTAGATTTTATATCATCTATCTATTTTATGTTACAGGTGAAATATCAAAACTCAAAAAATGTTTGCTTTCTGCTGCAAAAATTTAGTATTACTATATTGGATGGATGCTTACATATAAATTCAACGAGCCTGAGTTAAGACTACAAGACTTACCATATCGAAGAGTGGATAGAGTTTCATCAAAATTTACATCAGCAGGACTCAAAGCTGCAATCTGTAAACAAATAAAATGGTGAGAAAAACATAGTAACAAAATGAAATGATGCCATTAAAACATGATTTTTTCACACACAGTTCTAACATCTTTATCTTCAGACAAAAAATAAAAACAAGAATAAATACAATATGTAATTATGCATTAGATGATTTTGAAAAGTAAAGTCTAATTTAAAAATACTCCAATGATTATTTTCCCCCGCAATAGGCCTCGGAAGTGAATGACTTACCATAATGGTTTTACTGTTACCTCCCAGGGCATTCTTGAGCAGTTTAGTCAAGACTGAATCTCTGTATGGTACTGAAAGGGGGACAAATACATTATATTACAACACTATGTAGATCGTGCTAACAAAGGTCATTGGAAAAAGTCAAATCTTTAAAAAGATCAACATACCATCAACAATAATTAATTTCTACATGTTCTGATACTTTAAGGTCAATAAAACAAAAATAGAAAATGTTAGATACCTCGGGTGTTTTTCCCTGAAGATTTCTCTGCCAGGGCTGCGATACAGTTGCCGAGACATGATAATGACTGATTGATAGCGGCACCCTCCTTCAGACGATCTCCTGTTGCTCCTGTGCTCTCTGCTCGTTCACTAAAGAAATTGTGACAAGGAAAATACATTATTATATTCACCATTTAACTCATTTCACTTAAAGTAAAATCACAGGGATCAACAGTTTTCTTATCATCAACAGAGAAAAAGAAACACTTTCATCAATGTTATGTTATCAATGGAGAATTGATTAAGAATCGTTACATCATAACCATCTTCTTTTCAGTTTTTGAGAAATTATTAGGTTATGAAAAATAACAGTGATATCGCAATCAGTAACAGAGAAAAGCAGACACATCATTTTTTAATCAGCCTTTGTCTGTAACCCATTTCCATTGCAATCTCACCTTTCATTATTGGCTCAGATGGGTAGTTAGGAACTTAACGAGACCAGGTGTTGATTCACAAGGATAATATCAACACATTCGCACAAAAATATAAATTTCATGGAGTAGAAAATGACTGAAAAATGCATGACAACGAAACCAGAAGATAAAAAATGCCAAACAAACAAATCATAAATCAACTGACAGAGAAATTACAGCGAAATAGTACTATCATATGGCAAACAGTGAAATAGTACTATCATATAGCAAACAGTGAAATTGTACCATTATATAGCAAACAGTGAAATAGTACCATCATATAGCAAACAGTGAAATAGTACCATCATATAGCAAACAGTGAAATAGTACCATCATATAGCAAACAGTGAAATAGTACCATCATATAGCAAACAGCGAAATAGTACCATCATATAGCAAACCGTGAAATAGTACCATCATTTAGCAAACAGCGAAATAGTAATATCATATAGCAAACAGCGAAATAGTACCATCATATAGCAAACGGCGAAATAGTACTATCATATAGCAAACGGCGAAATAGTACCATCATATAGCAAACAGCGAAATAGTACCATCATATAGCAAACAGCGAAATAGTACTATCATATAGCAAACAGCGAAATAGTACTATCATATAGCAAACGGCGAAATAGTACTATCATATAGCAAACGGCGAAATAGTACCATCATATAGCAAACAGCGAAATAGTACCATCATATAGCAAACAGCGAAATAGTACTATCATATAGCAAACAAAATTCCTATCACTCACAGGTAAATTACAGATATATCAGTACCACAATATTAGTGATTACAGGATTTTTACCTGCCAGCTAAATCCACAAGGTTGACAACAGCTGTTTTGGCGGTTTCTTCCCCAGCAGCATTGATAAATTTCTGTTGAAATGTAATCCCAACAATGGTGTGAGCTCGACTGAAAACAAATAAAAAAGAAATTTTACCTTGACAAAAGGCTAACAGATAATTACACAATTTTCCAATTTATATCAAGAAATGTGTCTGTATAAATTAATATCAGGAAGTAATTTCAAGATTTCAAGTGTGACAGGTTTGTGAGTGACGTTAAAACACCAGTGATGTCAATTCATTTACCTCTTTATATCAATACCATCTCGTATCAATTTAGCGTTGATTAATCCAACAAAAGAACAAATTCTCTCACACCATACCAAGTGTTTTTTTCTTGAAGCAACTAATGCCAAGACATGTCATGAACATATCAGTAAAACTATTAGTATTTTCATTAATCTTTTTTATCATGTAGAAGTGGAATAGATATTACTTATTTTGATAGCTCTCAGCTGTTGCTGACGGAAAGTGATTTCAGACTTTACAAACACATGATAATCATTATCAAGAGATCTCACACTTTTGATGTGTTATTTGCATAGGTGGACACAGATTCACGTTATCTCAAAATTTGACAAGATAACTTTGTTTCAAATCGTTCATAACTGTGATAAATATCAAGCTAGATTTTAAAATAGAATTCAAAATGTTTTGTTACACTCAACTGTACTGATACAATGTTGACAAAACATTCAGGAAGCTTTTAAAGGAAGTTCACCAACGCATGCCTAGACAATTTCCATTTGGTTGACAAAGCATAATAACACTTAAGTATTTTTTTATGACCAAGATTATAGAAAACAGAGCAAAAATATCTCAACATCTAAATGAGGAAAACGTTATTGATTTTATTTTGTTTTTGTTTAAATACTTCAGCTATCAGATGCATTGGAATATCAATGATCTGTACAGAACAGGCCCAAATGTAAACAATTGAAAGTGATGAGGGACTCACACAATATGTCAATATGTGAACAGAGCATTCTGACCTACAGTACACAACCATCAATCTTTTCAAAATGGCTGATATGTGGTGATCTTGTTTAATAAAAATCTTTGGAACAAAAGCCATCAATCATCTATAAACAAATCTTAATTACTGAACCATGACTGTGGATATGCATCAATAACTCAACACAGATCTAAATTATAACCTTAGTACACAATGTCATACGATATACTCTACCATCAATTATGGCACTTTGAGGTAATAATTATTCAAAACTGCCATAAATATATCCGAGACAAAGGGGAATTTTAATGGAAAGATAAATTGTTTTGGTTATACAAGGGATTTTTTTTTTCTCACATGGTTTCATGTCATGTTTTTGTTACAAGTTCAATAAATTGGTCCCTAATCTTTGCAAGCTGATCAGTTTCATTGACTGATTTACAGTACAACAGTATAATAAAGGACTTATAATACTGCGTGATAAATCCAATGAACCGAAATCAGCAACAGATATAATACACCGAAAGTGAGACACACATGACGGCCATGATATAGATTTACATCCAATTTAAAGTTTTGTCTAAGAGAGAAATGTAAATAAAAAGCCTTCAGATTAACAGGGAACTAGTTTTTTGTCAATCATTTGCAAACTTAATGAAAGGTTGTAAGCTAGGTTGCCAAATATTTGGTTACTGCCATGGTAGCCATACAGGTAGTGTGTATGGAGCATTAGTCAGGCATGATGAGCGTTGATAGTGTCACACAGCAGACACACAGCAGACGACAGAGCTAGAGAGTATACTAAACAGGTTGAATACTTGGCCTAATATGTTTCTGTCTTCAATGCTTATACACATAACATTGATCAGCTCAAATGAGGAAAAATCACTCAGATTATTTTGTAATGTCGAAAAAAATGTGTACTTGAGTTTTACAATATACTACGTGTACCTAACATACACGCTTTGAGTGGCCCTGAATGCAGTGTTCTTGTAGTCATTGGTTACACATGCATTAGTGCACAAGGCTCTTATCAAAATGGTACAAGATAGCAAACATGTTGTTAAGTAAACAAAAGAAGCACAGGAACACCTGCTTCATGGTAATCAAAGTTCTATAGCAAACATAAATGTGATGTAAGCAAACTCTCCAACATTTCAAACTCAATTCTATTGTAAATCTCAATTTTAGATTAAGATATGACATTATCAATTGGATATATCTAAATTTCCAATGCAAATCTTTCTCATTACAACCTCCCATTAAATTCTATTGCCTGATTCTGACCTCCCAAAAAACCCACAGCTTGATTCTAACCTCCCAAAATCTCACTGCCTGACTATACCCTCCCAAAATCCCACTGCCTGACTATACCCTCCCAAAATCCCACTGCCTCACTATACCCTCCCAAAATCTCACTGCCTGATTCTATCCTCACAAAATCTCACTGCTTGTTTCTATCCTCACAAAATCCCACTGTCTGACTCTAATCTCCCAAAATCTCACTGCCTGATTCTAACCTCCCAAAATCTCACTGCCTGATTCTAACGTTTCAAAATCTTGCTGCCTGATACTAACCTCCCGAAATCTCAAACCGTGGTTCTAACCTCCAAAAAAACCCACAGCTTGATTCTAACCTCCCAAAGTCACACTGCCTGGTTATAACCTCCCAAAATCTCACTGCCTGACTCTAACCTCCAAAAATCTCACTGCCTGACTCTAACCTCCCAAAATCTCACTGCCTGACTCTAACCTCCAAAAATCTCACTGCCTGACTCTAACCTCCAAAAATCTCACTGCCTGACTCTAACCTCCAAAAATCTCACTGCCTGACTCTAACCTCCAAAAATCTCACTGCCTGACTCTAACCTCCCAAAATCTCACTGCCTGACTCTAACCTCCAAAAATCTCACTGCCTGACTCTAACCTCCAAAAATCTCACTGCCTGACTCTAACCTCCCAAAATCTCACTGCCTGATTCTGACCTCCAAAAATCCCAATGCCTGATTCTAAACTTCCAAAACTCCCACTCTCTGATTGTCACCTTCCAAAATCCTACAGCTTGAGTATAACCTTCTAAAATCCTACAGCCTTATTCTAACCTCTCAAATTCCCACTTCCTGACTCTAACCTCCCAAAATCCCACTCTCTGATTCTAACCTCCCTAAATCCCACTGCCTGATTCTAATGTCCCCAAATCCCACTGCCTGGTTCTAATGCCTCCAAATCCCACTGCCTGGTTCTATCCCCACAATAGTCTATTTGCTCATTCTTACCACCCAAAATATCAAATTCTGCTAGCTCCTTCTAACCTCCCTAAATTCTGCTAGCTCCTTCTAACCTCCCTAAATTCTGCTAGCTCCTTCTAACCTCCCTAAATTCTGCTAGCTCCTTCTAACCTTCCTAAATTCTGCTAGCTCCTTCTAACCTCCCAAAATTCTGCTAGCTCCTTCTAACCTCCCTAAATTCTGCTAGCTCCTTCTAACCTCCCTAAATTCTGCTAGCTCCTTCTAACCTCCCTAAATTCTGCTAGCTCCTTCTAACCTCCCTAAATTCTGCTAGCTCCTTCTAACCATCCTAAATTCTGCTAGCTCCTTCTAACCTCCCTAAATTCTGCTAGCTCCTTCTAACCTCCCTAAATTCTGCTAGCTCCTTCTAACCTCCCTAAATTCTGCTAGCTCCTTCTAACCTCCCTAAATTCTGCTAGCTCCTTCTAACCATCCTAAATTCTGCTAGCTCCTTCTAACCATCCTAAATTCTGCTAGCTCCTTCTAACCTCCCTAAATTCTGCTAGCTCCTTCTAACCTCCCAAAATTCTGCTAGCTCCTTCTAACCTCCCTAAATTCTGCTAGCTCCTTCTAACCTCCCTAAATTCTGCTAGCTCCTTCTAACCTCCCTAAATTCTGCTAGCTCCTTCTAACCTCCCTAAATTCTGCTAGCTCCTTCTAACCTCCCTAAATTCTGCTAGCTCCTTCTAACCATCCTAAATTCTGCTAGCTCCTTCTAACCTCCCTAAATTCTGCTAGCTCCTTCTAACCTCCCTAAATTCTGCTAGCTCCTTCTAACCTCCCTAAATTCTGCTAGCTCCTTCTAACCTCCCTAAATTCTGCTAGCTCCTTCTAACCTCCCTAAATTCTGCTAGCTCCTTCTAACCTCCCTAAATTCTGCTAGCTCCTTCTAACCTCCCAAAATTCTGCTAGCTCCTTCTAACCTCCCTAAATTCTGCTAGCTCCTTCTAACCTCCCTAAATTCTGCTAGCTCCTTCTAACCTCCCTAAATTCTGCTAGCTCCTTCTAACCTCCCTAAATTCTGCTAGCTCCTTCTAACCTCCCTAAATTCTGCTAGCTCCTTCTAACCTCCCTAAATTCTGCTAGCTCCTTCTAACCTCCCTAAATTCTGCTAGCTCCTTCTAACCTCCCTAAATTCTGCTAGCTCCTTCTAACCTCCCTAAATTCTGCTAGCTCCTTCTAACCATCCTAAATTCTGCTAGCTCCTTCTAACCTCCCTAAATTCTGCTAGCTCCTTCTAACCTCCCAAAATTCTGCTAGCTCCTTCTAACCTCCCTAAATTCTGCTAGCTCCTTCTAACCTCCCAAAATTCTGCTAGCTCCTTCTAACCTCCCTAAATTCTGCTAGCTCCTTCTAACCATCCTAAATTCTGCTAGCTCCTTCTAACCATCCTAAATTCTGCTAGCTCCCAAAATTCTGCTAGCTCCTTCTAACCATCCTAAATTCTGCTAGCTCCCAAAATTCTGCTAGCTCCTTCTAACCTCCCTAAATTCTGCTAGCTCCTTCTAACCTCCCTAAATTCTGCTAGCTCCTTCTAACCATCCTAAATTCTGCTAGCTCCCAAAATTCTGCTAGCTCCTTCTAACCTCCCTAAATTCTGCTAGCTCCTTCTAACCACCCAAAATACTACTGGTTCATTCTAACCACCCATAATTCTTCTGGCTGACCGTTACCTGCCAAAACCCTACTTTAACATTTGCTAATCTAATTTAGCAGATGTAGAGCAATGTGATAAACATTTGTGAACTATCCTCTTATATGAAATGATATGATAAATATCAAGACCTACATTTGTCATCTACAACTTCATGAAATCTGTCATATGCTATTTCACTGAATACTAACATCCTTATATATCACCTTTTCTAAAATCAATTATTCCTTCACACCTCATCCAGGCCCCAATTTCATGAACCACCCTTAACTTTAGGAATTTTCTTTAACTTAAAATTGCCTATAGGAAAACATTACATAAGTCAAGGAAACTTTTTTTAAGTTTAAGTTTATTTAACTCTTGTAATGTTTTCTTATGGTAGTTAATGTTTCCTTCAGTTAAGGAAGATTTGTGAAACTAGGACCTAATCACTTATTATATTGTCAGATCTTACATAACATGAAAATTTTGTTGTATCAATGGTAGCAGGATATTTACATTTCTTAAACCATCACAAAGGTGATTCCTTTGACTACAACCAATTTTATAGGAAATCTTACTAGTTCCTTTATCAATATAGCAAGAGAGTAAATGAACAGATTTTCATTGATCTCCGAATGGTCACAGCTGAACGACCACAAACATGATAAATGCGTTACCTGAATACCATCAATTCAAGGCTTACTTAATAATCCCTTTGGGCTCAATGTAATACACATTCAACTGACATATTGCTCTAAACTTTTGAATTTTACTTCTTGATCTATTCTGTAATAAGTCTGCAGGCATTATCCGTTTTTCAACATCAAGGATTAGATCAATTAATACAGGATTATCAAATCATGTGTTTTGTTATTTTTGCTAAAAAGCATCAGATGCTGGCTTATTACCAAACTTGTGTTTTACAGCAATATTTGTTGATGTTGGTAGAAATGTCCACAGTTTAGACTCCATCAATAACAAGATAATTCAGTATAGTACAGTCCCCCAAAGAATTTGACCAGTAGTGGAGGAGCCTGGACAAACTTTTTCTTTCATGTAAGTCCAAATGACCTAAGACGACACACTGCCTTACCTAGGTGAACCTATGCCCAAAGTTTAAAGTTCCTGTGACTAGTATTGTAGGGGATAGCGCACAGACAAACCTTTTCTTTAATGTAAGTTGCAGGTCAAAATGTATGTGTGACCTACTTTTGAAACACTACAAACCACTTTGCCAAGATGAACCCATACCCAAAATATAATCTTCCAGTATCTACTAGTGTAAGAGATAAACCCTAGACAATCATTATATTTAATGTATGAATAAAATAAATGTAGGTCTAAGGTCAATATGTAGGGCAGAATGACCTAATGCGACACACCACCTCATCAAGGTGAACATCAAATACAATGTTACAGTGATCAGCTGTGTAGGTGATCGAGCCCAGGTATTTACTACAGTAGCATACATCCTTAAATCATTAACTTAACATCCCTTACCTGCTGGTGGCATTCATGTTAGTAGAAGCCACAGTTCTATTGGTTGTTCCTTCTGCAATCCTCTTAGAGATTTCATCATAGCTGGCAACAGGAACTACTATCAGACCATCAGCTGTTGACAGAAAATTTCACCATCAATTAAAAAGTTCAAGAAATACATCTGTGACTGAAATAAGCAATACCATCAATAAAAACAAACAACAACAACCTTCTGACTCAATCTACCAACAATACCAACAAACATCAACAACCTTCTGACTCAATCTACCAACAATACCAACAAACATCAACAACCTTCTGACTCAATCTACCAACAATACCAACAAACATCAACAACCTTCTGACTCAATCTACCAACAATATCAAAAAACATCAACAACCTTCTGACTCAATCTACCAACAATACCAACAAACATCAACAACCTTCTGACTCAATTTAACAACAATATCAAAAAACATCAACAACCTTCTGACTCAATCTACCATCAATAAAAACAAACATCAACAACCTTCTGACTCAATCTACCAACAATACCAACAAACATCTACAACCTTCTGACTCAATCTACCAACAATACCAACAAACATCTACAACCTTCTGAACCCAACAATACCAACAAACATCTGACTCAATCTACCAACAATACATCAACAACCTTCTGACTCAATCTACCAACAAACATCAACAACCTTCTGACTCAATCTACAATCAATAAAAACAAACATCAACAACCTTCTGACTCAATCTACCAACAATACAAACAAACATCAACAACCTTCTGACTCAATCTACCAACAATACCAACAAACATCAACAACCTTCTGACTCAATCTACCAACAAACATCAACAACCTTCTGACTCAATCTACCAACAATACCAACAAACATCAACAACCTTCTGACTCAATCTACCAACAAACATCAACAACCTTCTGACTCAATCTACCAACATCAACAACCTTCTGACTCAATCTACCAACAATACCAACAAACATCAACAACCTTCTGACTCAATCTACCAACAATACCAACAAACATCAACAACCTTCTGACTCAATCTACCAACAATACCAACAAACATCAACAACCTTCTGACTCAATCTACAATCAATATAAAAAAACATCAACAACCTTCTGACTCAATCTACCAACAATACCAACAAACATCAACAACCTTCTGACTCAATCTACCAACAATACCAACAAACATCAACAACCTTCTGACTCAATCTACCAACAATACAAACAAACATCAACAACCTTCTGACTCAATCTACCAACAATATAAAAAAACATCAACAACCTTCTGACTCAATCTACCAACAATACCAACAAACATCAACAACCTTCTGACTCAATCTACCAACAATAAACAAACATCAACAACCTTCTGACTCAATCTACCAACAATACCAACAAACATCAACAACCTTCTGACTCAATCTACAATCAATATCAAAAAAACAACAAACATCAACAACCTTCTGACTCAATCTACAAACATCAACAAACATCAACAACCTTCTGACTCAATCTACCAACAATACCAACAAACATCAACAACCTTCTGACTCAATCTACCAACAATACCAACAAACATCAACAACCTTCTGACTCAATCTACCAACAATACCAACAAACATCAACAACCTTCTGACTCAATCTACCAACAATACCAACAAACATCAACAACCTTCTGACTCAATCTACCAACAATACCAACAAACATCAACAACCTTCTGACTCAATCTACCAACAATACCAACAAACATCAACAACCTTCTGACTCAATCTACCAACAATACCAACAAACATCAACAACCTTCTGACTCAATCTACCAACAATACCAACAAACATCAACAACCTTCTGACTCAATCTACCAACAATACAATAACAAACATCAACAACCTTCTGACTCAATCTACCAACAATACCAACAAACATCAACAACCTTCTGACTCAATCTACCAACAATACATCAACAAACATCAACAACCTTCTGACTCAATCTACAATCAACAACCTTCTGACTCAATCTACCAACAATATAAACAAACATCAACAACCTTCTGACTCAATCTACCAACAATACCAACAAACATCAACAACCTTCTGACTCAATTTACCAACAATATAAAAACATCAACAACCTTCTGACTCAATTTACCAACAATACCAACAAACATCAACAACCTTCTGACACAATCTACCAACAAACATCAACAACCTTCTGACTCAATCAACAACCTTCTAATCTACCAACAATACCAAAAAACATCAACAACCTTCTGACTACAATCAACAACCTTCTACCAACAATACATCAACAAACATCAACAACCTTCTGACTCAATCTACCAACAATACAAACAAACATCAACAACCTTCTGACTCAATCTACAACAATACCAACAAACAACAAACATCAACAACCTTCTGACTCAATCTACAAACAATCCCAAAAAACATAATCAAACAAAATACACACACTACAAACAAACATCAACAACCTTCTGACTCAATCTACCAACAATACCAACAAACATCAACAACCTTCTGACTCAATCTACCAACAAACATCAACAACCTTCTGACTCAATCTACCAACAATACCAACAAACATCAACAACCTTCTGACTCAATTTAACAACAAACATCAACAACCTTCTGACTCAATCTACCAACAATACCAACAAACATCAACAACCTTCTGACACAATCTACCAACAAACATCAACAACCTTCTGACTCAATTTACCAACAATACCAACAAAAATCAACAACCTTCTGACTCAATCTACCAACAAACATCAACAACCTTCTGACTCAATCTACCAACAATACCAACAAACATCAACAACCTTCTGACTCAATCTACCAACAATACCAACAAACATCAACAACCTTCTGACTCAATCTACCAACAAACATCAACAACCTTCTGACTCAATCTACCAACAATATCAACAACCTTCTGACTCAATCTACCAACAAACATCAACAACCTTCTGACTCAATCTACCAACAATATAAAAAAACAAACAACCTTCTGACCAACAATACAACAAAAATCAACAACCTTCTGACTCAATCTACCAACAAACATCAACAACCTTCTGACTCAATCTACCAACAAACATCAACAACCTTCTGACTCAATCTACCAACAATACCAACAAACATCAACAACCTTCTGACTCAATCTACCAACAAACATCAACAACCTTCTGACTCAATCTACCAACAATACCAACAAACATCAACAACCTTCTGACTCAATCTACCAACAAACATCAACAACCTTCTGACTCAATCTATCAACAATACCAACAAACATCAACAACCTTCTGACTCAATCTACCAACAAACATCAACAACCTTCTGACTCAATCTACCAACAATACCAACAAACATCAACAACCTTCTGACTCAAACAACAAACATCAACAACCTTCTGACTCAATCTACCAACAATACCAACAAACATCAACAACCTTCTGACTCAATCTACCAACAAACATCAACAACCTTCTGACTCAATCTACCATCAATAAAAACAAACATCAACAACCTTCTGACTCAATCTACCATCAATAAAAACAAACATCAACAACCTTCTGACTCAATCTACCAACAATACCAACAAACATCAACAACCTTCTGACTCAATCTACCAACAAACATCAACAACCTTCTGACTCAATTTACCAACAATATAAAAAAACATCAACAACCTTCTGACTCAATCTACCAACAATACCAACAAACATCAACAACCTTCTGACTCAATCTACAATCAATATAAAAAAACATCAACAACCTTCTGACTCAATTTACCAACAATACCAACAAAAATCAACAACCTTCTGACTCAATCTACCAACAAACATCAACAACCTTCTGACTCAATTTAACAACAATACCAACAAACATCAACAACCTTCTGACTCAATCTATCAACAATACCAACAAACATCAACAACCTTCTGACTCAATCTACCAACAAGCATCAACAACCTTCTGACTCAATCTACCAACAAACATCAACAACCTTCTGACTCAATCTACCAACAAACATCAACAACCTTCTGACTCAATCTACAAACAATATCAAAAAACATCAACAACCTTCTGACACAATCTACCAACAAACATCAACAACCTTCTGACTCAATCTACCAACAAACATCAACAACCTTCTGACTCAATCTACAATCAATATAAAAAAACATCAACAACCTTCTGACTCAATCTACCAACAATACCAACAAACATCAACAACCTTCTGACTCAATCTACCATCAATAAAAACAAACATCAACAACCTTCTGACTCAATCTACCAACAATACCAACAAACATCAACAACCTTCTGACTCAATCTACCAACAATACCAACAAACATCAACAACCTTCTGACTCAATCTACAAACAATATCAAAAAACATCAACAACCTTCTGACACAATCTACCAACAAACATCAACAACCTTCTGACTCAATCTACCAACAATACCAGCAAACATCAACAACCTTCTAACTCAATCTACAATCAATATAAAAAAACATCAACAACCTTCTGACTCAATCTACCAACAATACCAACAAACATCAACAACCTTCTGACTCAATCTACCATCAATAAAAACAAACATCAACAACCTTCTGACTCAATCTACCAACAATACCAACAAACATCAACAACCTTCTGACTCAATCTACCAACAATACCAACAAACATCAACAACCTTCTGACTCAATCTACAAACAATATAAAAAAACATCAACAACCTTCTGACTCAATCTACCAACAATACCAACAAACATCAACAACCTTCTGACTCAATCTACCAACAAACATCAACAACCTTCTGACTCAATCTACCAACAATATCAAAAAACATCAACAACCTTCTGACTCAATCTACCAACAATACCAACAAACATCAACAACCTTCTGACTCAATCTACCAACAATACCAACAAACATCAACAACCTTCTGACTCAATCTACCAACAAACATCAACAACCTTCTGACTCAATCTACCAACAATACCAGCAAACATCAAAGTTAGCATTTCGTCTAAATAAGAAATTAAGAAATTCAGGAGAATAATAGATATAAGACCTTTATGTTAGGGTTACATTATTCCAAGTGGACATGAATATGTGTTTATCTTTTGACAGACACATATGTGGGCAATATTGAGGTTCAAGTTAAAAAAAAAAAAAAAAAACATGACAAGCATTAGGATTTTGAGACCTAGACCTCTGAAGTGTTAGACAAATTAATTATACAACTCATCTTCTCATAGTGGCTGATAATTAGGCAAAGTTTTATACCTCTACAATAGCTTAACAGGTTACAACATGATGAAGGAGACAAAACTTTGTATAGTTCAATAAAGGGTTAAAAAAAAAAACTAAGTTAGAAAATGTGACCTTTAGAGGACAAACAAAAATTTGATATGCGACACATTGTCTGATAATGGTTAACAACTATACAAAGTTCCCTAGCTCTGCTATAAATGATTGCAAAGTAATGAAGTGGACACCCACATGTTTCAAATGCATGAATGCACAGACGCATGCACGGACGAACAGAGCAATAACTATAGGGCATCTGACATAAAGAGGCAGGGCTTTACATAATGACCATCCACTTTAGTAGTAACCAGATAGGGGAAAATCTGCATTTGGTCAAACACAAATTAGCCTGGTATACTTTTAACAAATCATACAGAGAGTGACTTAACCTGGTATACTTTTAACACATTATACAGAGTGACTTAACCTGGTATACTTTTAACACATAATACAGAGAGTGACTTAACCTGGTATACTTTTAACATATCATACAGAGAGTGACTTAACCTGATATACTTTTAACACATTATACAGAGTGACTTAACCTGGTATACTTTTAACACATAATACAGAGAGTGACTTAACCTGGTATACTTTTAACACATTATACAGAGTGACTTAACCTGGTATACTTTTAACACATTATACAGAGTGACTTAACCTGGTATACTTTTAACACATTATACAGAGAGTGACTTAACCTGGTATACTTTTAACACATTATACAGAAAGTGACTTAACCTGGTATACTTTTAACACATTATACAGAGTGACTTAACCTGGTATACTTTAACACATTATACAGAGAGTGACTTAACCTGGTATACTTTTAACACATTATACAGAAAGTGACTTAACCTGGTATACTTTTAACACATTATACAGAGTGACTTAACCTGGTATACTTTAACACATTATACAGAGAGTGACTTAACCTGGTATACTTTTAACACATTATACAGAGTGACTTAACCTGGTATACTTTTAACACATTATACAGAGTGACTTAACCTGGTATACTTTTAACACATTATACAGAGAGTGACTTAACCTGGTATACTTTTAACACATCATACAGAGAGTGACTTAACCTGATATACTTTTAACACATTATACAGAGTGACTTAACCTGGTATACTTTTAACACATTATACAGAGAGTGACTTAACCTGGTATACTTTTAACACATTATACAGAGTGACTTAACCTGGTATACTTTTAACACATTATACAGAGTGACTTAACCTGGTATACTTTTAACACATCATACAGAGAGTGACTTAACCTGATATACTTTTAACACATTATACAGAGTGACTTAACCTGGTATACTTTTAACACATTATACAGAGAGTGACTTAACCTGGTATACTTTTAACACATAATACAGAGAGTGACTTAACCTGGTATAACACATTATATAGAGTGACTTAACCTGGTATACTTTTAACACATCATACAGAGTGACTTAACCAGGTGTACTTTTAACACATTATACAGAGAGTGACTTAACCTGGTATACTTTTAACACATTATACAGAGAGTGACTTAACCTGGTATACTTTTAACACATTATACAGAGTGACTTAACCTGGTATACTTTTAACACATCATACAGAGTGACTTAACCTGGTATACTTTTAACACATTATACAGAGAATGACTTACCGTAGAAACCCTGTTTAGGATGCTGTCTTACTTTAAGTCCTCCACGGCTTGATGATTTTGACAATAAATCTCGGACCTGTTCATTGTAGATTTCCAGCATACTGAAGGTTACCTGAGAAACATAATATTTGGTATGTTAAATATTGAACCATTGTGTAGTTTTTACTAGCAACATTACATGAGGCTGAGCTGTAACAGTGGACCAAATTTGTCCACATGTATCTTCCAAAGATACAGAACTGGTGTAGCTTAAAGCTGAAGAGTTTTTTTCCAACAAAACCAAGGTGTTCTTGGGAAATTAACAATATTAGACAAAATCTTACCTCAAATTCTGTTTTATCACCAGAATTTTTTTTGTCGTTGATCTGCTGGAAGATATTGTCACAAAACATGGGTACAATTCCTGTAATGAAAAGAAATTGGACTTGATCATACAGTGATTGCATTTCTAGATTTAATTTGAATAGCCACTAAAACATATGTACATGCATTTAAGCTACATGTACAAATACCTGAATAATTCTGTATAATATATATAGGTGTATCACAGAATATTTATTAGATACAGTCTGTATAAAGTCAAACACAACACCATAAAAAAGGGCCTTAACTCTGTATATTGAATTATAACGATTTCAGTATATATAACATCATTTCATGTTTATCTTCCTGTACAAAATGTCCAATATTATATCAGTAGATTCCAAACCCCAGCCAAACAGCAACCCAGCTTGTATATAGTTGGGTCTTTGATATTATGATTGGTCACCAACCATACAATTTCTTTACAACAACATGTTCTTTCATTCATTACAAGCATACCATACAGTTTTTAAAATCTAAGGTGGGTTTTGGAGCCCAATACAGAAACTCAAGAGATAAAAAAAAAAACAAATAAATAAAACTGTGCTTACAAAGCTATAGGTTTTAGAGCATAGACCATCTTGTTTATTTTGTATACGTTCATACACAGATTGGCTGCATTGTTTAATTCTTGCACACCTGTAACATGAATTAAAGAATGCTGTCGCCTTTAAGTTTTTACTTATATTGTAAACATACCTTTGTTGACACCATATCCCACCATGGACCAACTTTTTCCTGAGCCTGTCTGTCCATAGGCAAATAATGTTGAGTTATATCCTCCCCAGGCATTCTCCAATACACCCACTCCCAAATCATTATACACACTTTTCTGAAATCAAAATAATTCCATTATAGTTTTGAGTAACAAGAGGCCCATAGAGCCTGTCTAACTCACCTGGTTTATTTTGCTAAAATTGATTAACTTAAACTAAAGGAAAAGTATTTAAAACACTTGTATCAATTTCCCCATTAAAGGTTTGCCCCTGCTCACACAATAGGTTTAGATGCACTGTTTGTACAAAACTAAGTTCTCTTCATCAAAGATGGCTTCCATTCCTACAGAAATGGGATGTTTCAAAGAATTTGCTCTATTTCGATTATTTGGCCCCATCCCTCCAACCCCAAGGGGTCAGAAACAACTAAAAAACTAAACTAAAAACATACTAAATCGATCCCCTTCACTTAAGCATGACACAGACTAAACTGGAACAGAACCCAGGAATTCCTACAAAATAAGAATTTACTTTAAAGAATTTGATCTTTTTCCACTAATCCCCTCCTGCTCCTCCTGCCCCTGCTGCCCTTCCTGCTCAAGGGAGCTAAAACCAATCATTTACAAAAGTGATTCCCCCTTCACTCAAGAATGATTCAGACCAAATCTGAGTAAAATCATTCCTAAAAGATAATGATATTAAAGAATTAGCTCTATTTTCCCTATCAGGGTCTAATTGTAACAGCTACTTCCATACCTGATCAGCAAACTTTTTGCCATTTGGTTTTGATGGGTCAGGTTCATAATAGCCATTGTTTTCCTTGCAGCCGTCATGTGACCAGTAGCTGAAGTCAAAGGTAAATTTGCGAGGTTCGTCGTTCCCTGATGGATCTGTTATTTGTGTTGTGTTACCATTCATATCAATGATAAGCGTGGAGTTGAGAGTTTTCTCTCGAGAGTTGTACGCAGTGTTAAGGAAAGTAAGATTGAAATACCTTCACACACAAAAATATATTAACAGTAAAAAAAGAAGTTTGGATAGCATTACCAATTAAAATATCAAAATAAATCCACTGAAGGAAATCTATCCCAACTTCAAAATACTAAGTAATTTGGCTTCATTTTCTTAAGTACTTTACAATGTCAAATGTAAATACATATCTGTTACAAGCCGTTTATACCAATTTCACAAAATAAGCAGCAAATAAGAATTCAAAATTGCAATTTTATCAATTACATCAAATCAGCATACAAGAGCAGGATTCCAATATAAACTAGTAAAGTAAGGGTAAAATATGACTGAAGGAAGGATCTACATGGAGACTCTAGAACCAGAAGAATAAGACCAGGTGTTCTGGAAGGGTTCACATCTTATGATCAAACTACATCACTTGCCATATAAAACAGGATGAAAGTAGTGTCCCCTGCTCAAAGCGAGAAATAGAGTGACAATGAAAACCAGTGACCAGTATTAAACACACCAAACTTTATATCACACTGGAAAAAGAATATTTCCAGATTGAGACTTTGAGGACAACCATCAAACTTCCTCATCTTGTTTATCAGTCTATATGTATATTAAAAACACTTGTGCTATGATTTTCTCCTTTTGCAGTTTAGGTCTTTAACAAAATATATATCATGGGCATATCATTCTTGAATACTATATCAACTGTGGATGCTTTAGTGTTTAAAGACAGACAGGATTATCACTATCAAGAAAATGAAAGTTAAATTCAATGTGCAATATATTACCTATGTGGCCATCGAAGGTATTCCAAAAATACATTTCACAAAGCTATGATGATCCAAGGATGGCCTTGTTATATCTATTCAGAAACCAGTAGTTTGAAGTACTTGTTTAGGATTATGTTCTGATATGTAAGCTTGTCAGCTTGCTCTATATAGTTTTGTTAAGAAATCAGAGGCACATAAGATGTATATATCTTTACATTTCTGCAAAATATTTCACAAAAAATTAAATTTAAGAAATAGATATGAGCAGATGATACACAAATGAAACTGTTCTGTTCTGGGAATATTGTTTGTGACAATGCTACACATTTCAGTACAGAAAATATTGCAGTGAAATTTATCTATAAAAAGGAGTCACTTTAATGTTGATTGTATGAACTTTTAAAAATGAAATAGTAAGGTATTAGACCAAATAGAGTATGTGTATGTTATATTTTGTTATATTCCCTGCCAATGTCAAGGACACAATCAATAAAGATAAATGATATAATCTACTTAGATAATTATCACATTAGCTTCAGACAAGTATGTCATTTTCTGTGATATAATTGACAAGGGATCAGTAACATAAAACACTCCAAATTATAGGAAACAAAGCCTATGACAGTTTTGACACATCTACATCATTTTCAACCTATTGTAATAATAGACAAAGCTGCCTAGAAAGACCACTCAAGGGAGAAAAGTGGCCTTGATTTAGAGGTACAATAACTATGGATTGTGTTACAATGGGAAAGGAAAACATAGGCCTTTATAGACAGACATTTCTTACATATGGGTGGCCTTTACGGATAGGTATTTGTTAATTACAGGTGGTCTTTATAGACAGGTATCTGCATTATACAGTTGTTTTTAATAGACAGGTATCTATTATATATATAGGTGACCTTATATGCAGCTATATATTATGTATGGGTGACCTTTAGAGACAGGTTTTGATGGTATATTCAGGACCAGGAGATCTTTAGGGCAGGTACAATATCTATGCACAATGCACATTTGTATATCTGCCAAAGATCTCTACATTTGCAGTCCTGAACAAAAAGAATTAAAGTAGAACAATATACATTTCTAATTAGATTGAAAAATTCAACGGTCATCTGTAATCTATCATTGTAACATAAATAAAATACTGTGTAGATATAACATTATATAATTAATTATCATTCTCTGTCTGCTTCATTGTCATAAGATCAAATAACAAGTGTATCTGAAATTCCCTCGATGTCAACATTATGATGTCACAGCTGAATGTAGTAATTGCCTAATTGATTCTCACTTTTCTCCACAAATATTATCATGGAACTTTGATGATAAAACGGGGACATACTAGTTACATATTGGATGAGATACACACACACCTTGAATTATAACATATTACAGTATAATTACCCTGTCAGTTTGAAAGAAAGAGACAGTGTATGGTTGTTCTCACTAGCTAGGATGTGTTTAAACACTAGTATTGGAGAGCGGGATGAATAATTTCTACACTTGTTCCTAGGGTCTGGCTAGTCAGTTTTGCAAATGGTTGTCACCATCTATTTTACATGTCCATACGACAGTCCAGTATCATCAGGAGAGAACCCCTCAGACAAGGTAGCACGATGTCTGAATTTCTTCTTACCTCAACACCAGATTAAGATATTTTGATGGACCAATTCTGGCCCAAAAAACTGATGTTAGTTATTCTTCTGTTTAATATTTAACAGCTGGTGTTGGGGTCACAGGAAACACAGGTTTGTGACTATTATAAAGGGAGACAATTCAGGGATTGGGGTGTGGAAGGGACCGAGTTGGGGGGCCGGGGTAGGGAACTAATTAGATTGCATGAAATGATGGAGGTGTGTGATAATAACATTAACAGACAACATTTTCTAAAAAAAAAACACCACACACGCTAAAGTACTTCTACATCACAAGAACAATATCAGTATTACTAATTTGCTACGAAACCTACTCGCAAAGTTTTTTTTTTTATCAACAACAAGAACATGCAAAGTAAACACTATAAAACACACATATATATAACATAAAACGGCAATTAAACATATTTCACCAAAAGCCTTGAAAACTTTGTGAATTTAACTGTAGCCTTCATACCGTAATAGTTCCGAGCCTTTTTGACAGCACCTGTCAAACTCTCCGAGTCACTTTTCGTGTTGTGATAAAAAAAGGATATGAATGGGCGAACCCTAACTGCAACTCGCACGTTCTCCTCAGGCATGTTGGATGTTTGTGGGTGCTACTCCTATGTGTTTTAATGTCTGATATTACTCACAAATGCAAAAATGTCCAGCGATATGAAAATCCCACAAGTCAGCCGGCTAAATGATCCGCCATGTTTATATCGCCTGTGTTTGTAAACGTGATTGGTTGCTAAGGTACTTGTCAATAGCGTGCATGGTACTGGAATCTCAACAACCAGTTAAATATAGAACGGGGCCCGTGTAAGGGGAATTATAATGGTGCACCTCTCAACCATTTAGGCAATTAATTATTTACCTTATCTAAATGTGCATTTCCTAAACTTATTTATCGTGAAATATAAGATAAATTCGAACGATCTTATCGTACGTTTGTTATGTACATGTACCTCGTGCAGACACTACATACTATTCGTACGATGTATAAATTGTAGGTACTGACACGTATATTCTGGTTCTTCAATACAGATGTATTATTCAGTATACAGGTAGATATCGCATCCATATATACTAATAACGACTTGTATTTTTCCATCGTGTTCATTGAATGCATGTTTGTCATATATATATAATCTCTTTTATTGTCAATGTTATTTCATAAATGTTTTATGAAACACAGGGACTTGGTTCGAATTCCTATTTATATTGACCGTAGAGAATAAGGTAACCGTGTCGAGTCCCTGTGATGCGAAGTCTTGCGAAATCGCACACTTATGCAAAAACACGTACAGACCATAAGATCTCAAGCTTTAATACGTATGCAAGATGCTTGAGTGCGTTTCTGTGCTTAACAAAAAAGAAGAACATCAAGCTGTCTCTACTATATTCAAATCTGGAAGGACAGTTCCATTAGAATCTTCTGTTGCCTTTTTTCATATACACAAGTAATTTTCATCACATTTAATACCTTATATATATATATATCAATTAATGTATCTAACATGTACATAATGTATTGGATACATATATACATACTAGGTACCCCTGGAGTATTGAAGATTATATATATATATATATATATATAACGCCTGAAGATGGCCACAAGGCCGGAAAACGTTAACGATTTCATACGATTTTATTTACCATGTTAATGTTTTAATTTTCTATATATACGATACACAAAGCTTTTATATTTTTGAATTACATATATACACTCACACATACCCTTGATAGTCCAAACAAATAGATAACGTGTTGTGTCGCCCACCCCATTGTTGGCCTCGGGTATTCCCATTTGTTGTTCAGTACAGTTGTGGTAACAAACCCTGCCTGACGTACGCCCACCCGATTATGTAGTAGATTTAAATTACCTATATATATATAGATATACATTCAATGTATTTCAAAATACGTGCACCGAGTCATTGTTATTCGTCTCAGAGCGTCGCCTGATTATTGACCCTTAAATGCGATCAGCAGCTGGTGATCATTACCTGTAATTGTACATGTATACGTAGCGCTTTGTCATCTTAACATAGACGGTTCAACCACCTTAGGAAATGTGAGCACTGTTTACGTACATGTAAATATTTTGTTTTATAATTTCACGAGATTTTGAACTACCGAAAATACCATAAACATTGTCCACAAAGCTGGACGTGTAACAACAGTGCATTCAAATAATACCTGACAAATCGCTTCAAATGGTTGTGACGTCAACATGCTTCTATCATATCTAATTATCACCGTTGTCTTGACGATTGTCATGCAACCATTTGTGATGGAAATTGCATATTATTTATTAAATTTTGTTAAACGGACAAGTTAATGATATGGACAAGTTAAGATTAATATTAGCGAAAGAACGGGTATCAAAAACGGCTTTTATGATTGTTTTAAAACTTCACGATCAATAACAATAAGGGAAGAATGAAGACTTGTTTTTTTTTCTCTCTTCTTTTCATCTTTAATTAGAATACTGCTGAGTGAAACAATACACGCCAGTACCACGCCAAATAAATATTCAAGATTTGCTTCATTAAAAAGAATATACATATCGAAATGGTAGTAATACGTTACAACACCAAGGGGGGGGGGGTCGAAAATGGTAGTAATACGTTACAACACCAAGGGGGTGGGGTGGGGTCGAAAATGGTAGTAATACGTTACAACACCAAGGGGGTGGGGTGGGGTGGGGTCGAAAATGGTAGTAATACGTTACAACACCAAGGGGGTGGGGTGGGGTCGAAAATGGTAGTAATACGTTACAACACCAAGGGGGTGGGGGGGGGTCGAAAATGGTAGTAATACGTTACAACACCAAGGGGTGGGGGGGGTCGAAAATGGTAGTAATACGTTACAACACCAAGGGTGGGGGGTTCGAAAATGCTAGTAATACGTTACAACACCAAGTGGGTGGGGGTTCGAAAATGGTAGTAATACGTTACAACACCAAGGGGGTGGGGGGGGTCGAAAATGGTAGTAATACGTTACAACACCACAACACCAAGGGGGTTGGGGGGGGGGTCGAAAATGGTAGTAATACGTTACAACACCAAGGGGGTGGGGGGGTTCGAAAATGGTAGTAATACGTTACAACACCAAGGGGGTGGGGGGGGGTGGGGGGTGGGGGGGGGGGGGTCGAAAATGGTAGTAATACGTTACAACACCAAGGGGGTGGGGGGTCGAAAATGGTAGTAATACGTTACAACACTAAGGGGGTGGGGGGTCGAAAATGGTAGTAATATGTTACAACACCAAGGGGGTGGGGGGGGTCGAAAATGGTAGTAATACGTTACAACACCAAGGGTGGGGGTGGGGGGGGGGTCGAAAATGGTAGTAATACGTTACAACACCAAGGGTGGGGGGTTCGAAAATGCTAGTAATACGTTACAACACCAAGTGGGTGGGGGTTCGAAAATGGTAGTAATACGTTACAACACCAAGGGGGTGGGGGGGGTCGAAAATGGTAGTAATACGTTACAACACCAATGGGGTGGGGGGGGGGCGAAAATGGTAGTAATACGTTACAACACTAAGGGGGTGGGGGGTCGAAAATGGTAGTAATACGTTACAAAACCAAGGGGGGGGGGGGGGGTCGAAAATGGTAGTAATACGTTACAACACCAAGGGGGTGGGAGCACAACAGTTTTAAACATTTGATTAAAATTGAAGAAGGTAATAAGTCTGGATTTTTTTTAAATGATAAAAACAAAGGGCAATAACTTATAACTTTTCCAACAGTTGTAAAATCAGAATGCCAATAAGAAAAATTCAATTTTATCTAATGTTTATTAAGCCTATGAACTATCAGAGTTATTGGTGAAAAACTTGAGGACCAGATCTTCATAAAAAGTTAAACTGCTGAAGAAAGCAAAGGGCAATTACTCCTTTAAAAGTTTTATCTAATCTACAGCAGTGTAGGGACCACAATTTCCTGTCATAGCTATAAATCTTAACAGGTTTGAAGGAAATAAAGTGAAAACAGAGATCTCCAGACAAATTTACATCATGGAAAAAAATAGGGACAGTAACTCTTCTAAATACAGTCAAATCAAAATGCCGTCCAAAAAGCGTAACTTCATGTCATTATTATTTATCCTATTTAGCTGGGTCGGCTAATCATAGCAGACATTGTATCGAGCTGAGTCGATAGGAAGTAATTAGTAACAAACCAAATAAAATCTTACTCCAGTATTCTTCTCATTACTAATACTCTTATCCCAGGCGGTTTTTATGGTTTTCTTTCCATTTTAAGGGGAGGGTTGTGACAGGGGGAGGGTTGTGAAAGGGGGAGGGTTGTGTTAAGGGGGAGGGTTGTGCTAAGGGGGAGGGTTGTGAAAGGGGGAGGGTTGTGAAAGGGGGAGGAAATATTTGGGTTTGTTTTTGAGGGGTTTATTTTTTTTTGGGGGGGGGGGGAGGGGGAGGGGGGTATTTTTTATTTTTAATTTTTTTTTTCTGTTTCTGTTTTCTATTTTTCGTTTTTAATACGTTCTGTAGATGTAGAAGGATACCATATATCCACGAGATAAAAGTGAAAAGTAATACTTTGAACAGATTTCACAAACTAGATATAAAAACTGTAAGAAAACACGTCAAAGCATCTCATCAAATTCGCTAAAATCACCTTCAGCTCATCACCCTTAGCTAAAAAAATAAGGTAATTCCGATTGTCGGAAATCAGAAATATAACAAAACTTTTTGTTTGTCCTAGTATTCTGTATCAGTCATCAATACATCACCATCGTCGTCGTCATCATCATCATCATCATCATCATCATCATCATCATCATCATCATCATCATCATCATCATCATCATCATCGTGACATCGATTCATCATCATCATCATCATCATCATCATCATCATCATCATCATCATCATCATCATCATCATCATCATCATCATCGTGCCATCAATACATCATCATCATAATCATCATCATCGTGACATCAATACATCATCATCATCATCATCATCATCATCATCATCATCATCATCATCATCATCATCATCATCATCATCATCATCTTCGTGGCATCGATACATCATCATGGCATCGATACATCATCATCATAATCATCATCATCATCATCATCATCATCATCATCATCATCATCATCATCATCATCATCATCGATTTCTGTCATCAAATACTGTAAATGTAAGATCATTATACGTTGTAGTTGTATCTAACACATACGGTATGTTTGCTCCTAGTGTAATTACATATTTATCTCCCTTGCATCAGTTATTCGAAACCAATTCAAGGCATTTTTCTGGTTTATTTTATATTTGTCTTATCGATAACGTACATTTCGTGATGTTTTCTTGTGCCGATCGTATTTCTAAATTCCTTTCGCTTCAGATTTGATTTTTAATAAAACATAAACCGCTTTCTATTCAAACATAATATATATATATACTTTGTAAATCGTAGTAATATTTCCTTCAAATATTGCAATCTCCTATTTGTTCAAAAACAATTTACAATCCACTGCTAAAACAGGACAGGGCACAGACGCGGAAGAAATCCTTCCGAACAACAAAAAGTGAAATTGAGTTGCGCCGCCAAAGTTAA